AAAGAGATTATGTTGTTATTTATCTTTCTATGCTGGGCTTATTTCCCCTAACATAACGTCCTTCATGTTCACCCATGTTGTTGAAAATACTAAGATTCTCTTCGGTTTTAAGGCTAAATAGTACTCCATTGTGTAGCAGCCCAGATAGCCTATAGCTAAGAGGAGTGCGAGTTATAAGAAATACCTGTAATGGATGGAACACCTTGGTGAAAAGGGCATGGAGAGAGATTTGGTGCTAACAAGCATGGGTAAGCTTGCGAGATGAGAGCATTGGTGAATTGGCAGTCTCTACACCTGTGGTGTTGAGAAGCACGAGCTCAGCCTTATATTAGGCTGGAGGAGCAGGCAGTCAGGAGGCATGCGCATTCTATCACGGATCCACTTACTCTGACTCTGTCTCCTCTCCTGCCTGCAGACCGCCAGCACGGCATCTCTGCTGAAGATTACCAAGCTCTGCTAAAGACTAAGAGCTATCTGTTCTAAGAAGACCTTTACTCTCTCTAAGATACTCTGTCTCTCTCTCTCCAGCTAAAGTAGATAGCCCTCAAGCACCTACGAGAAACTGTTCCTGAGCAAGGTAGCTTAGTGGTCCGCATCCAGAACCTACCTAAGCTGGGCCCGAGACCTGGCCAGTCCTGGGCCCTGACACCATTGTTTATACATACCACATTTTCTTTATGCACACATGGAATGCTATTGTTCCTTAAGTAAATCCTCCCATTTTCTCCTTGCGTAGCATTGTTTATACTATTTCTCTTCCAGGGACATGTACTGTTTTTCTCTTTTCCTTATCTTCTATAGATTACCCATTCATTAAATCCTAGCTCAAGTGTCACTTCTCCTCCAGTCTCCAATGATTATTCAAAATAGGAGAACTTTCACTTTGCTAGCACCTCTCAGTACGGCTATTTAAGGCACATATATAATATGTCACCACATAGTTTTCTTACTCAGGCACCCACGAGACTATCATTTCCATGAAGGCAGTGATGATAGAATATTTTATTCATACATTCAACAAATATTTATCAAATCCTTACTATTCCATGTGAAAGTGATAAGATAGAGCAGGCCCTTGCTCTCAGGAAGCTTAGGTTCTAAGGAGAAAGGAGGGCATGTTTTCCAGAAAATAAGCAAATAAATAAACAAAATGGGAACTCTCAAAACTAGATTAAGTAGTTAAAGAAGTTCTCCCTGAGGAAGTGATATTTGAGATAAAATCTCAATATTAAGAACCCAATCACGGTTACAGAGCAGAGAGAGTGAGGAGGCTGCGTCTGGCTCCCGCTCTCACAGCCAGGGCAGTACATTGAGCTCCATAGAGACAGCGCCGGGGCAAGTGAGAGCGGGCACTGGGTGACTGTGCCTTGCTGAGGAAAAATAACTAAACATGGACAAAGGAGCTCCTAAGAAGCCGAGAGGCAAAATGTCATCATATGCATTCTTTGTGCAAACTTGTTGGGAGTAGCACAAGAAGCAGCACCCAGATGCTTCAGTCAACTTCTCAGAGTTTTCTAAGAAGTGCTCAGAGAGGTGGAAGACCATGTCTGCTAAAGAGAAAGGAAAATTTGAAGATATGGCAAAGGCGGACAAGGCCTGTTGTGAAAGAGAAATGAAAACCTATATCCCTCCTAAAAGGGAAACAAAAAAGAAGTTCAAGGATCCCAATACACCCAAGAGGCCTCCTTCGGCCTTTTTCTTGTTCTGTTCTGAGTGTCACCCCCAAATCAAAGGAGAACATCCTGGCCTATCCATTGATGATGTTGCAAAGAAGCTGGG